GGCACATTCATGATTTTTCCTGAAAAGACTGAGCAGAGGCATTGTCATGATGATGCCTGAACACAGCTGAAGAAGAAGGTCGTAGAGGAAAGGAGAAAGTGAGGAGAGAAATGAGTGACTATTTCAGCTGACGAAGGCAGAAAATCCCTGACAGCTAAATAGAAAAAAAGAGTCTTCCTCCATTTGTCAAACGGCTCATCATGACAACACCAGCAGTGGTTGTGAATGGTGGAGCTAGAAGGAGATGTATGGGCAGGAAGCAGAGTGTGATGGAGGGAGCTCCTCCAGGTCTCCTGCATGGATTCTCTGCGGCAGCTTACGTCTTCAAAGTGTAACATTTGCACTCTCTGCATAAGCCAAGACACTTTGACATAATGCCAGACTCGTGGCGTTGGGAAGTAAATCTAAATCCAAGTGGTAGAAAGTGAGTGTGGGGAAATAAGCCAGCTATGTGTCACCAGTGGAGAAAGAAAAGATTTAAAATGACATATCTGTGAACAGATGTGAGCAGGATTTTAATTCTTCTAAACAGCAGAATACCGATAGCCGTAACTTTTTTTCCATTTTCATTGTTATTGAGCTTGAGAAGATCAAAAACTATGTTTGGGCTCAATTTTAATTTCTTTAAGAATGCTGATTCTGCCTGAAACTTTTCAAATGAAAACTGCAGTAAATAACATTTGATCGACCTAAGGGCAGGAATCCAAGATGAACAGTCACTGGAAAGACAAAAGGACAGACAGAAAGAAAGGAAGGGAGGGATATAATTTTTGTTTTAAACTTTCACAACCAGATTCTAAATTTATTAAAGTCTAATCTCAAATGCACAAAACAAAATTTTCTGCATTGCCTTTAATTATAAAAGTAAGTTGAGATGAAGCCATGATTGAAAAGGTGTGTGTGAAAAACACACCCAGTGATTCAGAAGCTTTACTATTTATTGCACATTATATATAGAATTTCCAATTGTACCTTCTGAACCATATGAAAGAAGGTTTGCTGCAGTTTATTTTCTATATGTTTGATAAAGGTAGTCAAACTATTGTTTTAGTCGGTTTCAGTTTCTTTATTAATTATTTTACATTGGCTGGTAAACCTCTTATACACTGACTGAACAAATTAAAGTTATGTTGTTTTTACATGTTGGATCAAGCTTGTGAAGCTGTTGGTGTATTAAAGAGTACTGTACTGATGCCGTTATCAAAAAATGTGTAATTCAGCACATTTATGTCTGTTTTTTAAAAAAAAGAAACATTTCAAGTGACTTCAATACTGTTTTTCTGTATCGGATCGGTATCTGCTGACAGTAAAGCTCAGATATCAGTATCGGAAGTGAAATATACTGATAGTAAATGTCGCCCAAATTCTACAAAGTGAACATTTTTCCACCACGTTATAACAACGGTATGAGTCACCTCTATGAGCCAAACGGAGATCTTTTTTTTTTTATTAATCCCTGCTGAGGAATTTGTTCTGATTCTTGCTGCGAGGTCAAGTATTTGCAACAGAAATGAGCAGCCCTCCAGAGCTGGTTGGGGATTCAGCGCTGAGCTCAGGGACACTTCAGAGTGGACGGACGGACAGATGCTGACGTGGAGACAGCAACCTGCGTCCTTCAGCAAGCGGGATGGGTCACCGTTCTCCCTGAGATGAATTTAAAGTTAATAACATTGATTTATTTGTCGTTAGGAATATATATTTATTTAATACAGAAACAATGACCTTTGTGGTCTTTGAGACAGAAGATCAAGTGTATCATTAAATCTCAAGAGCAACTATGAGGCCTTCCTAGCATGCAAAGTGTTTATTTGTAGACATGCTAAATGTGTGGCGTGTTAGTCGAATCACATCGGGTGGCAGGGCCACATCAGCAGATGAGACTTTATGAAACACATTTTCAGCAGCAAAATAGGCGCCACTTAGGGGTCACATATTGCAATTTTTTGGCTGAGCACCAATTTTTAAAGTTAAAGCCTGAATTACCGATTCCAATTTAGGCCCATACTGATTTAAATATAGTGAGAAAGTTGCTAAGTTGGCAACAGTGGAGTGACTATTAACCGCAGACATGACCGGGTAGGGGTCCCCTTGAAGTCAATGCACAAAAATGAAGAAAAAAAGAAATAGAAAGAAGACTAAATGAGCCCTCAAATTATGAACATTTATTAGGGTTGTATTTAATGTTTTTTGTTTTTATTGCAAGACCCTTTACTTTTTTATCAATTAAAAATATGAAAAATTATCGAAACTTGGTGCAAGTCAAACAGGCACATACTATTTATGAGAATCGTTTTATGTTATATTCTTGATCGTGACCTTTAAAGGTTAGCGTCTGAAATGTGAAACAATTAAAACTGTTTCTCTTCATCTCTCCTCTTTTTGGAGGTCTAACATGTTTGATAAATTTATCTACAATTTATGTTACTTTTTAGTCTATTCCGTGTTTCCTTTGTCTAGTCTCTTTTACTAGATAATGGAATTGCAGTAAAATTGCATTTTACTGCAATTGTTGTTTTTCAGCTAAACCTGCTTTCTGACTTTAGAAACTGATTATATAATAAACAACCGCCCCAAAACTTTTCTAGTTTATCTAGTTAATCACAGTTTTTTCATTACCACACTGTTTCCCCATCAGAACATTTTACATTATAAAACAGCAAAATAATGAAAACTGTTACCTAGCAGCAGGAAGGGTCTGACTACCCCAACTTGTAGATCAAGGCTAGTATCTTCTACAAATCCACATCCGCCTTCCTCTTCCAGCTCCTCCACCTGCTCCACTTCACCCTCTGCTCCATCACTCCTCTTTTCCAGCAACGTCCTGCCCGTCACCGTGGTGACACGCGTGGACTGCTTCTTCAGGCGGTTTTTGGAGAAGCCCTGAATTTCCTGAGCCAGTGAATGCATTGCCCCAGGGCCTACAGGATGCAGGTGAAAGCAGAAGAAACATTAAGACTAAACATTAAGACATTAGTCACGCTTTTGAAAGTTTGCGTTGAGTGCGTGAGTCAAGACAGCAGCATGGTGCTTATTGTTAACCCGTATGTTGTAGCCGCATCTCCATAAAAATAAGCCTTCATAGAGGGTTTACCTTTTTATAAAAGGGTTACCTGCACCTTCAGTTTGTGTGAAAGGTGGCATGAGTTATAAAAATTCAGAGGCGCACAACCAAGAGCTGCGAGACCACGCGAGGCCAACGAGCAGGTATGGCAATCCATAATGTGTCAACTATTAACCTAGCTTTAGATTTACAAAGGACATTATGTACATCTATAAAAGCAACATGGAAGTAAAGTTGTCAGTAGCAGACAGAGACAAGTATTCTTGTTGAGAGAAGCCAGAAGTTTACATATGGTAAAGTTACTATGATAACCCTCTAAACTTGTCATCACCCTGTTCAAGAAGCTGCTTTGTCCCAGAAAATGTGGTTTGAAATAAGTGAAAAAAAAAAGAAAAAATGTCTTGTAGCTCATGTCGTTACATGAACATTTCATGTATCGACATGAAAGGCTCAGTACATGAAAATTAGTTAACTAACTAACTAAGTAGTTAGTCAGTTTGGTAGTGAGGTAGGTTTGATCTTTTAGTATTTTTTCAGATAACGGCATTTTACTGCAATTGCTGATTTTTAGAAAAATTTCACACAGAATCAGATCAGCATTATGTAAAGATCTTAGTTCAGCAAATAAACTTAAAGCAGCAGAAAGTGTGCATGTGTGTGTGTGTGTGTGTGTGTGTGTGTGTGTGTGACGGGGAGCTCAAATGAGTCTAACAGAACAGCAGGAAGCTGAATTGACAATGTGATGCAGTCAAGGACAAAAATAAAATGTTATTCTTGTCAAATCTACCTTCCAGGTAGTCAGTAGAACATTTATAAGAAAATATTTTCTCTTTTACTTTTCTAACTTGTTATTGACCCCTTTATTGATTAATTTGAACTGTTCTTTTTTTGAACATGCAACTTTAATGAATTTTAAAAATGAAACTTTGCTGTTCAAGTTTGAATTCATTGAGGTTTTTCTTTAATCAACACATGGATAAAATGAGGGTCAAATACACTGAGGTAAATAAAAAGTATTTGATGGTCCACCATGTTTTTTCAACTTTTTTCAACTTTGCTTCCTTCCAAACAATGGAGAGGTCTGTAATTTTCATCATAGCTCCATCTCAACTGTGAGAGACAGAATCTAACATAATCCAGAAAAGAACTACAGGTAACATTCGACCTCTGGAACAGATTTTTCTACCAAATATTAAGATATACTTCCCTATTGTTTCAAAGGCAATAAACTGCAAATTAATTAAATTATCCAGAAATAATAATTACAATGTAATTTACTGGATTTGCTTTAAGATTCTGTCTCTCAGAGTTGAGGTATATCTATCATGAAAATTACAGACCTCTCAACTTTTTAGAAGTAGGGAAACGTATCACATATTCTCTCCAGTGTATACACATCCATACACAGTAGAATTTGCTACAAAATATCTACAAAATTTCACACTTTTTCAGTAAAGTGCCTACACAATATTATTATTATGTATTAAATCAGCTCCTTTGTAATTTCATAGGTCTATTAAATTTTGTCTACAAAAATAATATCCATAGAAAGCCACTGATTAGAAATTCAGACAATTTTGTGTATCTTTCAAGTTGTACCACAATACTGTTTACTTTTTAAATATCTGGGCAGTAATAATAATGTACCACATTACATGTGCAACTTTGACCAATATTTCTCTATGCGGATATTTTACATTGTGTATATTCATTGCCACCTCGTTTTTAATGCTTTAAAATGTTTTGTGTCAGTTCTTAAAATATAAATTGGATTACTTTGTGTATATTCTGTGTTTTTGGCACATTGATTAATCTGAACCTTGAGAGAAAAAATAACTCCTCCATTTGATGTAAATATTAAACGCTTGCTTTTAAAATTCAAACGACATGACGCTAAAACGAACGTTACGACGGTATTTGAACGCACCACAAACCAGTCTCGTAAAAACCAGGACAACTCCTCATCCCTGTGACCGAAAAAAAAAAAAAAACAGACAGGGAGACAGAGGGGTGGAGTACAGGAAGCTGCTGTCCCTAAAACCTATCTGAACATGGGCGAAATCTAAACACTACAGAAATCACAGTTTCTATTTTTCAATCATTTTTGGAACCAGAAGCTGCGGATATTTCCCATATTTTTTTCTGGATCGGGGTTGGAGATATAAAGCGAGAAGATGTCTCGGGGAGTGATGCAGCCCAGCCAGCAGAAACTGGCAGAAAAACTCACCATCCTCAACGACAGAGGCATCGGGATGTTGACTCGTGTTTACAATATCAAAAAGGTTCGCACACACATACACAGACGTGTCCCGATTTTAGCCAGAATTATGTGAACTGAGAAATTAAATGGTCTTCACCTGAAACCCCAAACTGTGTCACTGTTAGCCCTAGCAAAATACGAAACAAATATCAGTTGATTTATCACTTTCCATGGAACTGTAGTTGCATAAATGTATCACAAATACTTTCTAATGGTGTTATTTATTCGAAAAAGAATGGTATACTGCTATTTATGGACCTTAATATTCCTTAATATCCCCTCCCAGCATCCCTGGTTGTGGGTACTGCTAGCACAAGCCGTCGCGTTAGCTTGCGGTAAAAGTTGTACACCGGTTTTCAGATTTAAACTGGTTTTTTGCTCGAAATAAAATCAAACATGAACAGTTATTGTGAACATTTCTTCAACCCTAACCTATTAGAAGCTACAAATAGAAGTGAAACGAGCGCTCTCGTCAAACCTGAAGGCCTTCGTTGGTGCTAACAGCTAGCTAGCTAGCGTCGACTAGTAATGGCGGCGGCTCCTGGCTAATCCAGCAGTCGGGGCGTCGTCTCTGCTCCACCGAAACCCGACCACGAAGCACCAAAACTCTCAGATACAGACACCCCCGCTGTCCGCATGACACTTCTGACCTGGGAAGCTGAAAATAAAGAACCTGGCTGCTTCCCTCACCCCGGCCCCCTGATTGAACTTGCAGCTAGCAGTACTTAGCTTGCCACAAAAATGAAATTGGAAAATGAAAACATCGCCATGCTTATTTTCAGTTACAAATTTACAATTTATATTTCTTAACTTTAAGTTTTTAATAGACTCCGTTTTGTTCCCCAATGTTCTCTGCTCATTTTAACAATGATACATTTAAATAAATATGCTTTATATATATATATTGGTGAAGGTATGGATTTCTAACAGTGTATGTTTCTTTTTTATTTGGCGAATATTCGGTGAAGTTTAAGATCCTGAGTTCATAGTAATGCAATGCATCAAGGCCTGAGATGCAATAGGTTTGACCCACCAGACAGATTTTTTTCACCAATGCTAGATTAGAATTAGATTCAATTGTATTATGTTTTTTAATTCTACAGTTTCTTTGGGGTTCTTAAAATCCCTCTGAAAGTGAAGAAATTCTATTTTGTTATCAATGTTTGTTTCTAGCATTAATCTGGTTTGCAGTAAATCTAAAAAGAAAGGGCTTCATGAGGATGTCTGGCCTATTGATTCACATAATGATATCTGAACTGCAGAACTGTTAAAAATTCAAAAAGCAACTACACATTAATTCAACTTTGAAATCGCACCAGTGCTTCCTGTTCAAGCTGGGGGTTTTTATAGGTTAAACCTTTACTAATTTGAAATTACTCGATTTTTAAGTAAAACAGTTTTGCAAAATACAAGAACTCTGTAACTCTGTATTTTGTTTGAATTGTAGTCTGCTATTTTAAGTTCTTAGTTAATGATAAAAAACAATCTTGAAATGTTCAGAATTCAGACTCACTGCTTATTTGTTATTTTGTTTGTATAGAAGCAATTAAATATTAAGCATGTATATTTAAAAAAGAAAAAAATCAAGCCGGTCTTATTGTTAAAGCCAGTGTGAGGCAGGTGTGTGGCTTATCTCATAAGTTTATGTGCAATATAAAAAATACTATTTTCTAACCCGTTAGGTTGCAGAAAGTAAATTTAACACACCAGTTCCAAAAATAAACTGTGATTGTGTTATATATGTCTAATATTATGAACTTAATGTGCACTTAATGCATTGGAGGCGAGACAGAAAAACATCCCACGTTGATCAGTTTTTGACAAATTACAACAAAAAGGTTAAAAACTTTTTAGGATTTTTATTTATTTCATTTGATTTTCAAGCCTTTAGGCATCAATGCATTAGAAGTCTTGTATACTGTATTTAAATTGTCATTGCAATTTCAATTTTACACAACATCCCAGTTTTCAAAGTACTGATTGGATGCAATATTTGGCAGGGTATTATTATTCAAAGTTCCATATATACATATTCATTGCTTCTCAGTGATTTATTTATTTAGTCAGTCAGATAGACTCTAACACCCCTATATACCCATATTTTTTTTTTTTGCTTTATGAGATTCTGGAAAGTGATGGAGGCATTGTTGTCAGGTTGATCAAAATCAATATTAATACCGCAATGTTTCAACAAAAATATTAGCGTGCAGCCCCCATGTTACACCCAAGCATCGCCGTTTTGCCCCAACCTGATTCCATTTCATACTTTTAAGCAACATACACTGCTCAAAAAAATAAAGGGAACACTCAAATAACACATCCTAGATCTGAATGAATGAAATATTCTCATTGAATACTTTGTTCTGTACAAAGTTGAATGTGCTGACAACAAAATCACACAAAAATCATCAATGGAAATCAAATTTATTAACCAATGGAGGCCAGGATTTGGAGCCACACACAAAATTAAAGTGAAATGTTCCCTTTATTTTTTTGAGCAGTATATTTTCTACCTAACTGTTGCATACCAATTAATTACTCCTGAAAGTTGAACATTTGGGTAAATTATGGAGATAAATATTTGCAAAAAAACAAAATGCCTATATCCCACAATTTGTTCAAATGTAATTTGTCATGATAGACTTTATCTTCTATCCTACTTTAACTGCTTCTATACTAGACTCTTGTGAAATATAAGAGATGGTTCATGAGCAACCAAAGTATCAGCAGCTGTGTCTTTATTACTTTAAGATCATAAATTTGTGCTGGAATAGGCTGGACCTGTCCCTCCATTTCTGGACAAGAAGGATGCATTTGGAAGAGTCTTCGCTTTGACAAGCCAGTGTTTCCCCAACCTTGGTCCTCAAGGCACACTGCCCTGCATCTTAGGTGTTTACTTGCTTCAGCCCAGCTGATTTCAATTGATGGATGATTTACAGGCATTTGCTGAACTGCAATTACCTGAATCAGGAGCATTAAAGCAGGCAGATAGTTAACATGCTGGTCAGTGTGCCTTGATGACCAGGTTGGGAAACACTGATGTAATAGACCTTTGAAGGAAACAGCCCCTGAATTTAGATGCACCCTCTGATGGTCCTTCTTCTGACAAATATAATTGATCATTTATTAGCATTGCCAAACATAATGTTGTTACAGTAAACAGATTATAGAAAATTACATTAAACCCTTAAAATTCCCACAATTTGATCTGGAAGTGTGTAATGTGCTGCTAAAAATGCGAAGTTAAGAGTGCTTTCACTCCAAAATGGTTTGGGCCAAATTTAATGGACCACAATTTTGTTTCCCCAGAACAAGATTATGTTTAATATTTAATAACCAAATTTCTTTAAGTTAATTCTTCTTTACAAAAATGAACATTTTAGATACCCAGAATAACATTAAATCCTTGTAGATAGAGGCAAATTATTTCTTAATTTAATTAAAATTCAGAAATTCTTAATTGGTCCCACAGGGAACATAAATGTTTTTGTAACGCAAATTAATTCAAGTTTCTTCAAAGAGTTGTTGTATTATTAACAGGAAACATTCCCATTTTAGATGTATGCAAATATATCTTACTTCACATTGGAGAAAAGTACCACCATTACTATTATGTTTGTTTTTTTGTTTGTTTGTTTTTTATTCAATATTAAAATGGATTGCCATACTCAGTCATTCAGGGCATCTTTGTGTAATTGCACCCAAAACATGCAACAATTGTAATTGGATGACATTATTTCAAGTTGGTTTGGTCCACTTTCAAAAGTTTAGGGTTATTATGAACAAAACCAAATGTTTGGTTGCCACAGTGACTACGCCCCAGATTATCTTGATGTGAAATCACTTTTGATCATCAACTTGAGAAGCCAATACAAGCTATTTCGGGTAGATGACTGCATTTCATACTCTAAAAAGTTGGATTTAAAATGACAAAAGCGACAAAAGTACAAAAAGATAAAATGACCCAGCTTCTGATCAAGTTATTTCCCAGCATTTAGTGATGAAACAAACTAATTTTCAGCAAAAATATGTAATTCGTATGAGCTACAGTCCAATAGTTTGTGTAATTCTGGTACATTCATGGAGATCTTTTCAAAATTATTTCCTTATGAGGCCTAACTAACTTATATCTTGCTTACACTAAAATAAAACACAGTGCCATTACTAAAGTGTAGATCTTTTCACTCTGTTTTTGTGTTGTGGTTGGTGTGTGAGAGAGTGGTCGGTCTGTTTGGGAGGTCTGCCTGTATGTGGGTGGGTTTGTATGATACACTGGAAGAGAAAGAGGCCAGTCATGTCTGATAGTTTCTGGGAGTACAGAGTGGAAGTTCAACAATCTGAAAGCTCATACTGTTTCAGAACTTCACAGTTTGTCACACATCAGACCTGTTTCTATTTTCATTTCCACCAAAAGTATAGAATTTGTTATCTTTCTGGGAAAAGTCCTAAGAAATTGTTCTGTATAGAAATGTTTTTTTTTTAATGCATGGAGAGCGTTATAAGACAGTGTGAGCAATCAGACATCTAGATTCAGCCTTTGATTACACCCTTCCTTTCCTGTCCTCCCTTCCTCCTTTTCTCTCTCTCTGAGTCATCATCTTCATATCTATCCTGACCTGACAAATCACAAGTCCTCTGAATATTTTTTTTCTCTTCTGAACTTTTGATCATATTTTCCTTCAGCTGTATAAAAACAACTTTGAATGTTTAACTACATCCCAAAAGCAGAAATTAAAAACTGGAACAATAATCTATTTAATCAGCTGCCATTTGGATTTACTCATCTAATGTTTAAAAATAATTCAAAAGCAATTTTATTTGATTTCTACATTTGGGAGAGTGCTCACTTAGAGATATATTAACATATAAGAACACATTGGTTTGCTGTGGTGGTGCAGGGGTTAAGCACAACCCACATATGGAGGCCTTAGTCCTCGACGTGGCCATCGCAGGTTCGATTCCTGACCTGGCGACCTTTGCCGCATGTCTTCCCCTTCTCTCATTTCCCACTTTCCTGTCAAT